ATAACTTCAGTAAAATTGTTCATATATACAGTAATATACAAACGCCATTAAATATATCAGTTAAATGTACTGTAAATTATATTTAAAAAATAAATAAACATATAATTAAAGAAATTAAAAAAATTAAATATTACCGAAACTTAAATAAAGATATAAATGAGTACGATAAATGAATCCACTTTAGATAGATAAAAATGAGTCCATTTTAGATGAAGATATAAAAGAATCCACTTTTAACTTAATCAACTGACTTTATTCAATAATTACAGTCATAATCTGAAAGATAAGAACTGTGTCGAATAGCCATTCCTTTGATAACTTAATATGTGACAGTCCACAAAAAGATAAATAAAAGATCTTATGTTTGCTGCATACCTTACTTGTTATTTGGTATTATTTATTTTACTACCTACGTACTAACGGTGTTGTTGTCTCCTTTCTTTTTCCAGCATATGATTTAGAAACATTTAATTTATGATAACGATGTGAAATGCATGCATAAATACACTCATGTCCATAAATTAAGGATAATGCACAATCAAACAAAGGAAGAGTTAGAAGCAAAACAAATTTGACTTATTTGAAAGCTTATTTATTAAACAAAAGGTAAAGAGCAAAAATAGATGCTATATGTTTGATACTATTAAAAAAATTAGCGATTTTTTCTACCTGGAGCAAATTACAAAAAAAAAAAAAAAAAAAAAAAAAAAAAAAAAAAATCCTATTTACAAAAACCAATATTACATGGTTGGTATGATTGTTAATACATTGTATGTCTCCCAGATGATGCAAAACAGTCCGCACAACGCCTAGGCATTCAAGTCCGGTGAGAATGCTGGCCAATCTATACGGATGATATCCTCCGATTGAAGGCATTCGCTTACGATGTTTGCACGGTGGGGACGGGCGTTGTCATCCATAAACACAAATTGTGCGCCCATGGCGCCCCGAAACAAACGTACATGTTGTTCCAGAAAGACGTCCCGATAGATTTGGCCTGTCATGGTTCCAATTTGAACATGCAGATCAGTTCTGAAACCCAGAATAATACCACCCCAAACGAGCACTCCTGCACCACCGTAACGGTGTCATTCAATGATGTATTCTTGGTGGTAACGGTTTACCCGGAGCTCTCCATATGAAAGTCCGGCGAGAATCAGACTGCAAGCTAAACCTGGACTCGTCGGAAAACATCACACAAGCCCACTGTTGCGGTATCCACAATGCATGCTCCCTACTCCAGGCTAAGTTTCTTTTGGCAGTAACTGCCAAATACCGGTCCTCATTCAGCGTTGTAACTCTGGGGCGACCTGTGCCATAACGTCTACTCACATTACCATCATCTTAATCGTTGCCAAAGCCTAGAGATGACACTCTGGGCAATTCCAAGTTTGTCTGATACTTCCAGTTGGGTACGCCCACATTCCAGACGGCCGATAATTCTACCACGTAAAAAATCATCCAAATGCGTCTTTTGTGTCATAACTATCCGGTTATTGCACTGGAATGCTTATAAAGCGCCTGTGAACAATTTTATTTCTTTGCCTGTATTCCTTATCACTCTCTTACACTCTCGTCATTGTGACGTACCATCGGTGTCATCTAATTACTTTCTGAAATTTGCATATTATTCTTGAAGATGTGTGTAGTGATTTTACAGGTAATATATTTATTTAAGAGTTCGATTTCCGCGTGACTCCGAATTATCCTTAGTTTATGGACATGAGTGTAGTAAAGTGTTTCGTGGAAGTAAGGAGAATATGCAGTGGAACCTTGGTTCACGAACAAATCAGTTCACGAAGCACATTGGATCACGAACAAATCAATTTGATACTCCAAAAGGTAGCTTTTACAGTGCATAAAATGTCTTCAGAAGAAGACAGAAGGAAGATGTTCCTAGTTATTTGAACCGCGAAATTTGTGCAAAATTGGGTAATATGCAAAGGTTCATAGAGCACTATCACCTTGATTAAGCAGTAGTAACCGTAGCATGAATATTTGCAATGAGAATGACATCTCTTGCTTTAGAAGCAGTTTAAAACGTAGAGAGAAACAAATGACAGTGGTCAAATATTTAATGCTAGAAAGTTTCAGCAATTTTTGAATAGAGGCAAGCCGTCTTGAGAAAAAGACGAGTAGGTGGAATCTGGAAGTTTCAGGTCTTAATGGTCACCTAAAAGGGTTTGTTAAGATTTTATCCAGCCCCCCCCGAAAAAAAAAACACTTTCTTTCCAAAAGGGAATTTGCCCAGAAAGACTATTAATTTCATTTTCGCATTCCACGTTGATTCACTACAAGCGTTGTTTCACTTTTCAAATTGTTGCCACCAAATATTATCGCCCTGTATTATATTTAAAGAAATTAAATAATAAAGAATCTGCATGAATGTATGTATGTTTCTCGCATTGTGATAAAACAACGGTACCTAGAGCCATCAAAATTTGAATAACGTAAATCTTGCATAGATATGGACATGTGGAAGCCCTAATTTGAATTTGAAATTTGTTTTATGATCGATTTCATATTTTGTAACACGTCAACGAATTTTTCATTAACAATAAACTAAACAACTTCAAAGCGAGCAATGTGGGGAAAAAAAAAGGTTTTTATTTCCAGCGCGCGAGACTGTGCATCGGAAATTCTAAAGATATACTCATTTTAAAATTATGTTGCGATATTGTTGTTGAACTGAATTTTATGGTTTAAATGCGAAGAACATGATATTTAATAAATAAAGGTAACTCACAAAACGTTAAAAAAAAAACACTCCTTTGAACTTAATTTAAAATCTGAAGCCTTTCAAATTTTTAAACACTCCTTTGAACTTAATTTAAAATCTGAAGCCTTTCAGATTTTTCCCCCCTAGCTTTATAATTAAGCATAATTTTCGTCGAGCGCCGCATACAATTCAAAAGCAAAATCACAAAATATTTAAAAACACCGTTCTTTAGAATTTCCGACAGAGTGTTAGAGGTTGCCATAGATATTTTTATATTCAGTATATTATTTCTTGAAAACTAACCCCCGAAAATAATTACCATAAAAAAGAATATATATATATTTTTTCTAAATGGCTACAGTCTCCAGGGCTGAAAGATAAAAATATTTTGTTTCGAACAGTGTTGCCGTTGCTCTCTGTCAGATCACTAAGCAAGTATTCATTAAAGTTTTACAAAATATGAAATAAATAATAAAACAAAATCGAATTTCAGGTGAACATGTTCGAGTGGAGGACTGCGTTATACAGAATTGGATGACTGTGGGCACCGTCGTTTTTTCCCATTGCGAGGAACATGCATACATACATGCATATTTTTCATTATTTAATTTCTTTAAAAAATAATACGAGGCGATGCAGGGTGGAGTTTTGTTTTGTAAGTTCAAGTGGCCTTCTGTTAAATTTAAAGACTTAATAAAAATCGCAATAACAACCTTGTACTTAGCGTACATATATTAAAACACTCAATCGATTTAGAGGGCAGCTAAAGGTCCCTCGTCATCAGGAGAACGAAGATTCCCCCCCCCCTTTCTAGTAATTTCGTTCTCCTAATGAGGAGGGACCTTTAGCTGCCCTCGAAATCGATTGAGTGTTTTAAGATATGTACGCTAAATACAAGGTTGTTATTGCGATTTTGATTGTCACCTTGGCGTGTTTCTCTTCTATTCTACTTAATAAAAGTTTATTTTAATCTTCGTAGGACTTTTATCCTTTTGATTCAGACTATATATTAAATTAAAGATAATGAAAGGATTGCGACTAATATTTTTTCAAATTCATGTATCTGAATTAAATTTTAGCGGCCACATTTGGGGTCACGACCGACAGTTTAAGAAACGCAGTTGTAGACAAAAAAATGCGCGAAATAAAATATATAAAAATGCTTCGTAAGTTACTCGATTTTAGTTCTAAACTATGGAAAAAGAAATTTTAGTCATTTTAATAAAAAAAGTATTATGTGACTAAAAATAAAATCGTGAGATGCCCATATACGTATTTTATTAGAGCATTAACGAAACTTTTAAGGAACAAAGAAGCGTTGGCATAGAAGTGACATACGTAAGCATAATTGAATCCTCTTACTTTTTCGAGACAATTTCTATCTACTTCGCCTAAATTTCTCTTTGGAAATTTTGATTAAATTCACTTAAATTTTCCTTAACAATTTGGATTTAAAAATCCTCCGCTTTTAGTGGCTCACATATTTTTTTTTTTTTTTTAAATCACATTGCGAGACTGATAAATGAAAAAAAAAATTTTTTTTTTTTTTTTTTTTTACTTTCCCCTTTTTTATAGTAATAGTAAACTATTATCATAAATCAGTCTGAAATTAATTTACGCACTATCAAGAGATGATTATTGAAAGACAAATAAACCCATATTTATAAAGTATTAAGACCATTATGTAATAATGTTTTATAATATGTTCAACTTCTGAAAATTCATTGTCAGATTAAATTTTAGAAACCAATCTTCCATTCGTAAGTATAAATTATTTCCTCGTGTTTACCATGTAGGAGTAATTTTCGATCTTGATAAACTTTTACAGTAAAATAATGATAGGAATAACTATATTAAAGTTTGAAAATTATTTTTATCTGTATAATATAATCTATTACTACAATGCAAAATCTTAAATATGAGAAAATTTTTATTTGAATTTCATGAAATAAGAATTTATACCTTATGCTTTAGTTTAGTGCTTCCCTGCAAATCGAGGTAATCGAGGTATTTCTTTTCTGCTTCGTCATTTCTGAGTTTTATGTATTTGAATATTTATATGCAGTTTTTCTAAAATATATGCATTCAAATACGTTATGTAAAACAGTTTGACGTGATGTGACTTGAACTGCTTTTAGGAATTTCGTTCGGGTACAGGGAATGAACGGGAAAAGTAAAGCTGGGAAAGGGAAAATATCTAAAACAATTGAGGAAGTGGCGTGACGCAACTGAAATCTATGCCCGTACAGGATGATAACAACTCAGTGATTTGTTTACATTCTCGATGGCGAGGGAAGAATGGTTTTTGCTATGTGTAATGAGCGCGTCTGTACAAAGATTTAAATAGTGTTAATTAATAATATGCTGTAAGAAATGGGCCTGATTAAGATTGAATACCAGTATCTTGAAAAATTTCATGGTTTGAAAACCGATGGTCGATTAGCCGGTGTTATATTATTTATAGTGTTGGAAACAGTAAGTGTATTAAAAAAAATTTTGCTCTTAGGCGGAGAAAACTTATTATGTATAATGTAATTTTAACATTTACGTGTAAGGCTTATGAGGCAATATACGAGTTCTCAAGTCTCATTTGCTAAATGCAATAGCATATCTTCGAAAAATTTAAAGTTGAATTGCCCGGTATACACAGATCTTCTATCAGCTTTTGCTTTAAACAGAATTTTTCCTGTACTGCACTCAGTCGTGAGAAATTTTAATTTCTTTTGTGTAATAAATCTACTCAAATATTTAAAATTAATGACTGGGTATTTTGAAACATATTGTGAAAGAAATGGAAAGAATCCACGAGTTTAGCTTAACTTAAAATATTTTATGATTTATGAAAGATGTTTTCATCATCATTATTTATGAAATCTGTTATGAAATTCTTTGGAGAGACAGTGTAGATAGTTAAAGATACTAATAAAAAATGCATATAATTTGCAAAATAATGCAGTGTACTGTAAATTAAAACATCAGTAAATTATGCTAGATTATTCTATTAATATATAATCTGTTACTATGAATCTTGAATAGTGTAAAATAGAATTTAACTGTTACGTTCAAAAGTCTGCTGTTTTAAGTCTTATCTTGCCTGCAGGCATTCATTAATTAAATGAATTCTAGTAGGAAAACAGTGAAAAAAAGAAGCATTCGTATTTCTTTTGAATGATATCTGTTTTAGTAAAGGAACCATGTAAAAAATGACTAATAAATTTAATTAAACATGACTACTGAAATACATTCTGCATTCAGAAATATCAGAGTTATTGTTAATCTCTGCTTGATTAATTAATAGCCTAATATTGTGTTAGGAGGGTGATAACTTTTATATAGATATTCCACTGAATATTCAGATATGTTTACTTATAATTTCAGATATTCTTTAGAAACAAAACATTCTGATCTAATTTAGTAAAATCATTATCCAAATGTAGGGAAATATCTGTTTAATGTAATATTTAATATGCATATTAGGAAAATAGTATTAAAATTGTTTGGTTAACAATTTGTTACTAGCGATTCCATATTAACATAAAATTCGAAGAGGATGTTAAAAAACTTTCCAAAGAGGATTTGTATTTATGTATAATAATAGCATAAATTTATCATTTGATTTTCCTCTTATTTTTTAATTATTTTATGGTTATAGATTTAATATTTCTTTTGCTGAAATTTTTTCTTTAATTTTTTAAGTACATATTGTCATTGTTAGGCTACATTTTGTAAAAAATGATAATATAAACATCATAGGTGCTATACATTAGAGGTAAGATATCATAGGTAAAAAATCTTCTACTAAACATCATAGGCAGTAAGGAAATAAGAACACTTAAAAGATTGACTATAATCACTTAAAAGTATTACTGATATATATATATATATATATTGGCATGCATGTCACCTTTATAGTGCACAGTACAACAAACAGGTCTTTTCATATGAATTAATATATCATTATTATAGAATGCTGGTTTTTGAATTTTTTTTTTTTTTTTTTTAGTTGGCAGGAGTTGCACTGCTTTCATTGTCAATATGGATGTATGTTGATACTGCTTCTTACCTGGCCACAGATCACAATGACAAGTTTTTCATCTCTATCTACATATTGATGGCAGCTGGGTCTTTAATGACCTTGGTTGGATTCTTAGGATGTTGTGGTGCAATGCAAGAAAGTTCTTGCATGCTGGGAAGTGTAAGTTCTAAATTTTTTACCTACTATTATAGTGTTTCGTAACTTTTTATAGTTAATGTTTTTATTTTTTTTAACAATTTTAGGGGTTGTTCTGAAAGATAAACAGGAAGCAATCAATGTCTAATATTAAAGTTTTGAATAAGTTATTATCATATATGTTAATAATTAGCTAAATTTATAACAGTTTTTGTTTCTGGGCATTTAAACTAGATTATAATGTATGCCTTAAAAATTCTTTTATTAGGTATTAACAAATAATTTTCATATTTTGAAACACTTTATTTTGATTTAGTCAAATTACACATGACTAACTTTAGATTGTCATGTCTGACTTTACATTACAAGACATTAATTCTAGTGTTTCATTTTTAAAGGTTAATTTTTTTTCTTTTAATTTTAATGAGTATAACCACAACACTCAAAAAACTTGTTCTGTATGTAATACTTTATTAAGTAATTGCATATCGGAAGGTCTGTATTGTTCCAAAAATAAGATCTTGTAATACTATGAGACAGATTTCTGACAAATATTTGATATTCATTATGATGAGGTAATATCTTTTGTGTTCCTGCAGGGATATTTCAGATAATTTATCTTTGTTTATTTGAATCCCTTTCAGTCACTGCAGTTGAATTTTTTCTGAGAATCTTTTGAAATAAAGAAGTATTGCTCAACAGCAAGTCTCTATGTTAGATTCTTTCAAATTTTCATATTTTCCGCCTCTTGCTATTCATTCAAAAGTTTCCATAATTTCTGTTAATAATTTAGAAATAACAGATGTAGAAGTAATTTAGAGCACTGAAGAATTTGCATATGGAGCCACTGCTATTTTACTGTTAAGGAAATTGCATGGAGTCTTTCTAAGTATAGATGTCCAATTTATTGAGAGAGAGTAGAATACTTCAAAAAGTGCAGGAGCCTTTGATTCTTTTATGATGATGTTGTATGGTATGGGACATCTGTAATTCATGCTGAGGTATTAAAAAATGGGTGGGTACTTTTCTGTTATGCACCTGCTATGCTTTTTGGTGTCTGTGAATGTGAGAGAGAAGTCAACTGGCACTATCGTGATTGTGTATCCATAAGCTATTCTTGTAATTAAAAATTGCTCACGATTTAAAAACCCTCCAAAATGCATGCCAGATATATAATGCAAAAGTACCAAAACATGTTCTAATTTATCAAATAGTTCAACTGTTGTATCAATTTAATCCACCCTTGTATAGCTGAAATATCTAATATTGGCTCTCTCTCTCTTTTTTTTGGGGGGGGGCTACTGTGATTTTTCTTTCTATCGCCAGTAATTTAATTACTTGGTAAGAACAAGCTTTCAGAAGTACAGCAAATGCATTATCCTGTAAATATATAGTAAATCACAAGTTCTCATTCTGTAATTCATGTGTTCTAATTTGGCATTGTAATTGGTTTTTCGTGGTCTTGTGCATACTCATATTCTAATCAAATGAAAATGTGTGCTTGCAGTGACTTTTATATTAACTACTGGCATTCCGTTATATCATTCTGATCAAATAAAAGCGCCATTTTTAGAGTTTTCTGTATTGAGTGTTTGAAATTAAAGGTGACATTATAATTATTATTGTTGTAATTTTTTTATTATTATTAAGTAAAATAATTGCCTTGTTGTTAAGGTAATTATTTTGTACTTTTAAGGATTTTTAGATGTGATATAATATAAGTGTTTGATGCAGTCTCAGATTTTGCTATGCAGTATTTTTTTTATTTAGAATTAAAGCTTGAGATCTATTAAAAATCATCAAAATATTATTAGGGTACAGTTGCAATATCCATTCATTGTATATGGAGACATGAAGGATTTGTTTTCAAATGTATTGATAACGGATTAAAAGAATTTGTTAAATGTTGCAGTTATATTGTAAGTATTAGCACAGTAAATTGACAAAAGTCGGTTAACAAATCAAATTTTATTATTTGTTTATATTTGTCTGCAAAATTTTGTTTTTAATTCCCCCCCCCTGTGTTTCTGATACTTTCTGTGAAATTACTTAAAGAGGGAAAAAAAATCTATGGTACATATTATGCAATTGTTATTTAACTAATCAGTCTAATTTTGGTACTTTTAATTTACATGAAATGATGAAAATCTGCTATTTTTCTCCTAGTTTTCGACTTTTGTTATACTAATATTCGCTGCTGAAATTGCTGGTGCTGTGTATGGTTATTCTCATCAAGATGAGGTATGTTTTATTTTTAAAACAATTAAATGCATTTTCATTGTTCTCCAATTATTACTCTTTTAATATACATTTTTAAACAAAAATATTAATAGTAAAATTGTTTAATCCTATGAGCAGTGCAGTTTTTTGTATCTGATCATGAAGAACTAGTAATACTTAAACAGCTTCTCTTAGATGCTGAATAATTCATGTAGAACCAAAACTTTCCTTTATTGTGTTAATCTCATCATCACATTAGAAAATTCATTTTTATCCATTTTCTGTTTTACTTATTTTAGTTTCTGTTTTCATAAATTTTCATTCATTAAGATTATATTTACATCATTAAAGAAAGTTAGAAAAATATTTGGTACTATTCCGTTTTGAGGACCGTAAAAAATCTCCAAACTATTGTTGATGTCAGCGCTGCCAAAAATAATTGCAGCAGCCCTAATACAAGAAAGGAAGTATAATAGTGAATAACTATCTAAGATTATTGTTTTAATTTAGATGAAAGGTTAATTTCATATAATACTTTTTTATTATTATAATTTATATAAAAAAGGCTAAACATAACTGAATGGATTCCTGCATTGCTATTCCGCTACCGAGTTATCGCTGAAGCATAATTTGATCTCGTTGGTTGTTCAAACATAATTTTCTATAAGGAACGATGCCTATTCTTTGAAAAAATTCTATTGCAGACTTTTCGGCACTGGGCAATTCCCAAATTGTTAAATCCATAGCGTTATCAGAAAAGGATTTAAAAATTAAACTAGTATTCAATGGCATCTTAAGAAATGTAGAACTATCTAAACTTACGAATTTGAAATCAGTGCGTACGCTAGATTTGGCTCGCTGTTAAATGGGCGTGTTTGCTAGATTTGGCGCCTTTGCGCATACATTTTCGCTGCAATTTTTTTACGGTCCTCAAAACGGAATAGTACCAAATAATTTAATCTATAAGCTCCTGTATATCAATCAGGTAATAAACAATCTCATGAGAGGATAAAGGCATTCATGCCACTCGGAGTGTTATTATTATTTGTAGTCATTTTGGGGAGGAGATAAAAAGAAAATATTCCGATAGCAGTTTGTATTATAAAATTGTTGTTCGTCGTACCATAATCACCCATTTACTACATAACTGTAATCATTTAGTGTTAAAAGTAAAAAATGCATTGTGAATGATAACAACAACAACAAAAAAAAAAAAAAAAAAAAAAAAAAAAAAAAATTAAATCATTAACTTATTTTTATTTGCACAAATGTGCTCTTCATATAATATATTATAAAACTTATTTGATGTAATAGTTATGTATATATTTTTAGAGGCAAGACCAGTATAATGTCTTATATATAGCAGTTCTAACTATGATCATAAAATGCATTTACATGATTTATATTAGTATGTTTTACCAAGTAGCGCAGGTAGGTACAGCCTCTGCTACAAAGTTTCTTTTTTATGTTTTTATTTCCTTTCTATTGCATAAAGCAGCAGGTAATGAAAAGCGAAAATGTTTAAGTGTTAGTCAAAGCATGTTTTTGAGTTATGAAAATTCATTCTGTTTTCTAACACTTCCCAGATGAATTTCAATTTTTCAGATGTATGCCCACAGGTAGAAAATATGTATCATGACAGTGGTCTGCTATTGTTCAAACTATGTAACATCTGAAGATCTCGTAACTTAAATATTTATTATTAGTACAAAAAGTAATGAAACATAATTGTAACATCAAAATTCCTGATTAAAGCAAGTTAATGAATTTATTACCCTGTAGACTGTGCTTATGAAAATAAAAAGTACAAAGCATCAAATCCAAAATGTTTCTTGGAAAAACGGTTTTTATGAAATTAAATTTTCCAAGAGCTCACAGTTAGAAGATAATAAAAAATTTCATTAGTTAGGAGAAATTATCTCGTCTGTTTTTTCTCCTCAGGAGAAATTTCATTCAACTGAAGAGACTCCCAAAATGAGGATTTTATTATTTACATTTTGAAATTGAATTTGTTGTGATGCAATTAAATTTGGATTTTTTTTGTTTTCTATTAAAATTTCCAATTGTTGCAACAAATGCAAGTTGTTAAAATATTGAAGGATAGAATCATCAGTAAGATGGAATCGAGATCGTTGTTCCCAGAACACTGAGTGTGCTACAATGTGTAGTGTCCATAGTCTGGAAAAAGTTCCAAATGATCAGACAAGGAAAAAGCGTAAAGAAATAATAGCCAATATGAGGTTTTCTAACCAGTAAAATGCCTCTATGAGATAGATGTTTGATGTTAACTGAATTGTATCTCAGAATGTTGTTTACAAGGCAACCCTTAAAGTATCTATCATAGGAGCAGTCATTTGTGGTAGTCATTTCACAATGATTTTGTTTCTGAAAATGGACTTTCTATTATCATCATCATGAATATTATTAACTGTGTATAAGGAACTTTTATTCTTATTTCTTTTCTGTGATTCTTAATAATCTGAAAATATTTGAAGTTTATAATTTTTTTTTATTTGATTTAATGTGTTTTTAGGTAAAAAAGGCCATAACAAAAAGGGTTACAAACATGATAAAGAATGAATATAGTGTTCAAGATGCTGTAACTTTGGCTGTTGATAAAATGCAAGAAAAGGTATGCAATTTTAATGTGAAATTTTTGAAAAATAATCTGCATTCATACATTTAGTTTAGAATGATATTTATTAAAATAACTGTGCTCAAATTGGGAATATTCAGCATTTATTAATTTTTTTAAATGATTATTTCTTATCAGAAAAAATGAACTTTCTATTAAAAGTTAATGGATGAATTATAAAGTGTATTTGAATTTATTTCATATAGGCTTAGTTGTACGGTATTATGTAAAAGTCTATGTTAGAGGTGTATTAAAAGAAAATGTCAAATTTTTGCCCCTTCTCTTGCAAAATACACCATTCCGAACATTTCTTTTGTTTTCTCAAGGCCTCCTGGAATTTACTTTCTTGGATGGTATGCAGGTCTGTTATCAAATTGTGATGAATCTCTTCTGTGGTTTGGAAATAGCATTGTTCAAAGTGCTTTTAAGCTTGGGAAACAGAAAAAAGTCCGCTGGGGCTAGGTCTGGAGAACAAGGTGGATGGGATACGGAAGTCTGATGTTTTGCCTGATAACTGTATTTGAGGAGTGATGCATGAGCCGGCGCATGATCATGATGCACCATCCAAGTCTGGGTTTCTACAGTTTAGGCTTCTTCTTGTGCATAGTCCCCTCAAATGCATTAAAATTTCTTAGTACATCTCTTTGTGTACTATCTTACCACATGGTTCAAATTCATGATGGACATTGCCTTTCATATCAAGTAACACAAACAGCACCCCTTGATCTTGACCCACACATGCAGGCATTTTTTGATGAAGAAATTCTTTCTTTATCTGCTGTAACAATTGCATCTTCATTTCAACATCATGCCTATAAATCCACTTCTCCATGTCCTATTAGGATTTCTTAAGGAAGTTTTTATTGTTGCTTGTTGAATCAAGCAGTTTCTGACTTTTTTTAATATGATTCTGTTTCTGGTCGTCAGTCAACAAATGCAGTACAGATTTTGTATTGACTGACACTTCTGAAGTTTTCCTGTCAAATTTGATGGTATGCTCTTATGCTGATGCTCACTTTGTTAGCAGTTTCTTGAACCGATAAATGGTGATTTCTATGAGTCACTTAACAAACTCTCTCAACATGGTCATCATCTATTGATGTGGAAGGTTGTCCAGGCCAAGTGTCCTCACTGACCAACATTCTATCTTTCTCAAGTACATAAACCATTCATAGAACTGCATTTGACTCATATAGTCCTTCCTGTGTGTTTGATTAAGCAATTCAAATGTCTCTGTAAAATTTTTGCAAAGTTTGCAGCAAAATTTCACAGACACTTTTCTTCAAGCTCTTTGATCTGATGAACAGTTGTACCAATACTCTCTTCAGTCGCTGTATTCAGTTGACTAACAATCATAGTGAAACAAAGCAAATGGCAGTTTATTGTGTAAACCTGCCACTAGGTGCACTCAGTAGCTGTAATGTACACCTCGTGCCAGATGATGCAATATTTAAAGAATTTTATCCTTTTTTAGCTCACCTTATATATGTTATGTTAGTATTAAAAGTTAGCAAGGTATGAACTCTTTTCTGAGGGGGGGGATTTTTACAATTACAAGAGGTAATGCAAAGTAATTTCAGATGCTTAGTCAATATACCTGCTTTAAATATAACATTAAAAAAATTGGATGAAAAAATTCTCTGGCAGAAGCATCAGCTTTTCAAATGTCATCTCAGCTAAGACATCTCTTCTGTTTTATATGTGTTTTTTGCAACCCTACAGAACCCATCTCTTTGTGGAATGAATTTAAAGAGTCCCTTTTTGAAGATTTTTCAAAATCTTACTCCTTAGAAGACAGTTTCAGTATTGCACTGAGAAGTATAGAAGACCAGTTACAAGTGCACATCATTTCACTCTCTGCTCTTGGTCTCCCTCAGCCAACATTCAATGATGCTGTTTCTCTCGATGTTTCACAGTTCGATGTCCAGTATGAAAATGAACAAGCCCAAGTGTTGAATCAGATGTTGAATCTTGAACAGATATTTGTTTACGACTCGGTTTTGGAAGCTATGCAAGATGAGAATCCTAACACACTGAATACATTTTGTGTTAATGCAGCTAGAGCTGCAAAAACCTTCCTTTTTAAGACAATTCTTCACGCTGTTACCATTGTGTGGACAGGTATTGCAGCTCTGCTGTTGACTGGTGGAAGAACTGTACGCTCTACTTTCAAGCTGCTTCTTCCACTTTTGGAAAATTCTTCATGCCATGTTAAACAAGATATGCTCAAGTATGATACTTGAAGACTGCAAAACTTTTTATATGAAAAAAATGCGCCATGACATCTCATTATGCTTTGGAAGCTGTTGACAGACTACTGAGTGAGTAGACTGGGCAGGATGTTTCTTTTGGCTGTAAAATTTTAGTTTTAGGAAGTCTTTCTACAAATATGCGATTGTGTCCAGAAGAACAAGAATTTTCAGAATGGCTTCTGCATTTGGAAGATGGTCGTTTTAAAAATGACAGTGGCTTGGATGAAGTCATTATTGAAATTCCAGTGTGTCAACAGTTCAATAGTAGAAGAAATATTTGGTTGCAGTAATGAATTCCAACTTACAAGAATAAAACAATTTTATGTCAAAAGGAGGAAACTTTGAAACTTAATGAAGAAATTCTTTGCACATCAAGTTTTCACACACTACAGTGCAGATTCGGCTATTTGTGATGAAGAAGAACAAGTCGCATATCAGGTGGATTTTCATCCGCGGCTTGACGCCTTCTGGCATGCCACCTCATTATCTGAATTTCTGAAGTTGGACTTATAATTATGCTTCTACAAAATCTTTATCCATCGATGGGTCTCTGCAGTGGAAAAGCCCATTGTGAAGAGAATTATGCAAAATGTTTTAGATTGCGAAGTCATCTCTGGACAGAATGCTGGATCAAGTGTTTTCATTCCACGTATTGAACTTTCACTTTCAGATTCAAACCTCCCCTTTCAGCTCATGTGAAGACAATTTCCTATCAGGCTTGTATTTTGTATGACTATTAATAAGTCACAGGGACAAACACTTAAGAAAGTTGGAATTTATTTACTGCAACCAGTTTTCAGTCATGGAATGCTTTATATAGCTTTTTCAAGATGTTCGTCTGTGAGGAATGTTCATGTTTTAGTGGAAAACACCAAGAAGCAAGACCATTTGTTACCCAGCTGTTGTAAAGTATTCACACAAAATATTGTTTACAGGGAGGTACAACATAAAACTGAAAAAGTTTGAGATTTTTGGATGTCTAGGATAAACTGAAGCAAATCAAGAGGAAGCTGAAATCTTTTGAGAATTATGCATTAGTCAATTTTATGTCCGTCATTCCAAATGAAATTTAGAGTTGTTAAGGTCTACATACAATTGCTGTCATAATTTTTTAAAAATTTTATGCATTTTCTTTTTTAGGTATTTATGGAACTGATTTCATTCATATAAAAAGTATTTTTTTTGGGGGGGGGTGTATAGAAATAAATGATTTCATTTAAATCAAGATTAAATTTTTAAAAAGGAAAATCCCTCCAGATAGGTGCAGCTTGTCCATCTTGTTGGCTTTTAAAAAATAGATAGATTAGGTAGATTAAAAAAAAATATTTTCTGTTTTTGATTGAAATATCAAACATCTCCACAGATTTAACATGGGAACTCTTTTAGACACGAACAATAAATAAAGCAGACACAGCCCACTCAGTTGGTGGGTTTGCCCGCTAGTTGTGTTATAACTTTTATTGTAGAATTTTGATTTTTTGTGACAATATCCAAACTGACTCAGTTATTGTAAATTCATAAAATACAGAATTAACTTCTGCTGATTTTAAAATATGAAGCAGATATATACATTATTATCAAGCAGAAATACACATTTACATATCGTGAACAAATACAAATATGTACTTTTGGAATATTTTTAATGACTGGTCTGTTTAGTTAGAAGGCAAATCAGGTTTGAATTTTTAAAAATATTCTTTTGACCATTAAAATTCTCTTATATTAGTCAATAACGCTCATTGCTATGATTGAAGTTCTGGAGAATAAGGAATATAATGTAAGAATAATTTGATAAAATATATCAAAATTTATACTGTGTTTTTTATTTGTATTTCTTATCATTTTACATTTTAAGGATTTTGTATTTAAGACAATTGAAAGATCTTTATTTTTTTTTTATATTTAAAAATTTTTTTTTTTTTTTTTATCATCATATTGTTAAATTTTCCCTCCACCAGTTCCAATGCTGTGGTGCTTCTGGAATCGGTGATTGGTCAGACTCTAGTTTCAATAAGAAATTAAGAGATGGAGCTATATTGGCAGCTGTTCAGAATCTTGCTTTCAAAGTCCCTCATTCATGTTGCGTATCTCCTGAAACAACAGATTGTGATTTAGCAACAAGCATTGGTTCTCTGGGTACATATTCCACTCGGCTTCATTCAGATGTAAGTATAAAATATTTTTAAATGTAAAATGAAAATAATTTGATAACCTGATATATGAAAGTCTAATACAGATTTTATTTTTCTTTAGTATTGATTATATAAATCAATCTCCAAATAATATAGTATATTCCAAGAAATATGAAAATAATTTGATAACCTGATATATGAAAGTCTAATACAGATTTTATTTTTCTTTAGTATTGATTATATAAGTCAATCTCCAAACAATATAGTATATTCCAAGAAATACATTTTAAGCTGTACAACTGTATGGTCAGGTTGCACTTAATATCTATTTCACAGGGTTGCCATGCTACCGGGAAAACAGGAAAAAGTCAGGGAATTCGGAAATTGACCAAAAAATTCAGGGAAAAGTCAGGGAATTTAAGTGTTTTAGTCAAAATCTGGAAAAGTCAGGGAATTTCATACACGATCCCGCCAAAAAAGGCGAGTTTTGCGCCGACGTCGGAAGAGATAACTTTTTTGGCGAATTTTGTGTCACGTGAGTGTCATTCGGGCAGCTGGCATAGAGCCAATTTTCGCAGCTCCAATTTGATTGTCTTTTTCGAAAGGTAAGCAAGTTTCCCGCAACTTTTGGTTTCCAGTAACCTCGAGAATCGCATGTGCAGTGCATGAACTAAAGAAAGTACCTGTTCTCGTATAAAACAAAATGGGTTTAATCATAGTATACGGTATCATGAAGGTTAGAATTAAAAAAATATGTATTGTTAAGAAGGAAAACCTCTCTGCAACAGACGTGGCTCGGTTCCATCATAGCGGGAAACAGCTGTTGCATGTTGCGATAGTATCTGTCGCCAAAGCTCGAAACCGGTGTCGAAGTTCGAAGGTCACGTTATCAAGAGTTCATAAAATGAATATCGTTTAAAATATCTTTAAACTCTAAGGGAAAAGAAAATATTTTTTGACGCAAGTAAATTAATTCATGAATTAGTTATTTTGACGGGGGGAAAAAAATCTACGAAAATCCGTTTTTAAAATTATTGCGAAAAATCCAAGAAAAAATGTTCTTTGATAAAACGTTTCTTCTTGGATTTTTCGCAATAATTTAAAAACGGATTTTCGTAGTTTTCTTTTTTGTCAAAGAACGTTTCTTCTTAACACGTGTTTCTCAATTTCCTGTACACATCGCGGAGAGGGAAATTCTGGCCGTTCCGTCGTCAAATCCCTTGGCAAATTTTCCCTCCGCTCTTTACGTAGACGTTCTTTGGTCAGAATAATCTCCATGTATGGTACAGCGGGATTGGGCGACATGATGATGAGCAGTAAACGGGTCATTTTGTTCTTGGCGACAATTTTCAAAATCATGCGAAAGCCGTATCGTATACTAGGATTTTACCGCAAATTTTTTTTTTTTTTTTTTTTCTTTTCTTTTCTTTTTAATAAATACTTGTCATTTTGCAGTTAAAATAAAAAAAAAATTTTAATCAATCATCTAGGATAACCATATGTAACTATATTCGCTAAAAATATCGTTGGAAAATTCTAATTAAATTTTAAGTAATTATTTTTATGTTATTCATATCATTTAATGTGCTTCTTCCCTCTAAATTTATTTATCATTAGTAAATATTTCCAAATTTCAAGGAAATTTCTCTGGAATAATCGTGAAATTAATTCTAGCAGTATGATGACATCACGAAATTTAATGCACATATTTTTCCTTATGTATGCTGCGAAATAAATATAAAAAACCTCAATTTAGTAAAAAAATATCATTAAATAGATTTCTTCTTTCGTTTAGCTGCAGAATGTCTGCAAAAAAAAGCCTTATTTATTCCAGATTGGGCAGATTCAAATTTCAATCTTCAGTGGAGAAAACAACTCCTATTATAATTATATTTGTGTTTTCAAGTGTTAAGGTGCCTTTTAAGAATACACCTCACACAAATTAAATTTACCTAAAATCTAACCTAATTTTTAGCTTTGCATTGTGATTTATAAGAACCGGATTAGCCTTGTGTTGAACTGGGGATGATTATGAGTAATAATTAAATAAAACGTACAGTTTTTATCCAATGTATATATCTTAAATTTTATTAAGTTTTTTAAGCGGAAAAGTAAAAATTATCAAAACAAAGTGTACCAAGAATAATTAAGAATAAATGTCCTCTGGGATTTTATTGAAAATTAAGTGAATTTGCTACACAGTACAAGTAATACCATAATTAATTTACCTCTTAGCACAGCCAATGTGCATTACGCAGATAGACTGGAATTTTCTCGAAACATACCTGGAAAACCTGGAAAAGTCAGGGAATTTCATTCTCCTCTTTGAGTGGCAACCCTGATTTCAGTTTCAAACATATTTTGAGAATTAAAGCATCTGCAATTTCAACGCAGAATATTAACATTAAATAGAATTATATGCATATAGATTAACAATAAAATAAGAAAGATAAAACATTATGTTACTTAATGTGCATAAAGTTGCAGTAAGATAAAATAGGTCATATAGCATTATGTTATGTTTGCTTTTGTAGATAGAAAAGGAAATACTTATCAAATGATTTTTTTTTTTTTTAATTCAAAGCCAGTTGACTATTGATAAAAATTTGTAAACTTAAGATTCAAAATATGATCATGTGTAAACATCAGAATAAATAATAGGTGGCAAACTGGAATACATTATGAAGGGATTGAAATTGTATGAAAGAGGAAGTAAGACAAATACCACACAGTAATAAACCAATAAAAATGCATGTATGTATTTTTAATTTTAAGTCCAAAGCTAAGTTTCCCAAACTATTTTTTCCATGACTCGGTTGTTTTAATATTTTTCTTTCATGAGCCAATAAGAAAGTTTATTGGTAAATTAAACAAATTTTAATTTTCAGATATTTTTCTTTTATTGTGAAACTAACAAAAATGCATGTAAAAGAATAAAAAAATGTTAATGGCAAGTATTACCTGCGTCAAGGTTGCAGAAAAAGATGAAAATTTTATTCTTAAATCTGGTTTGACATCTAATTGATTTTTGTATTTATTTTTTTAAAAAATCAAGTACCAAGCAGCCTGTTTTATATTTGTAAAACTGTAACAAAAGGCACTTAAAAGTTAGTTGTGTTTTGCGCTAAAAAATGGATACTCTTGCGCTAAAAAATGGATATCTTTTAGTGCTGTATAACAAGGCAATTCACTTATAGATTCAGTATCTGAATTCAGTATCAGTATCTGAATCTGATAGTGAATTCAGTATCTGAATAAGGTGAAATTATTGGATTCAGTCTGAATCCAATAATTTCACCTTATTCTATATTAATTGTGAAAGGGTTTTTTATTCGTGTTTTGTTCGTATGAATTGCAGGAAAAATTCTTTCAGATTTATCTGCATTCGTATCAGATGTTCCTCGATAGCATCTGCTTCAGGCTTGGGATTAATATTGTCTTGTTTTTGCACTTCAATTAGCTTCATAAAAGCATTATAATTTCCTGCTTCCACATAAAGGGTCCACAAACTGAATTTTTTCATTGCAGCTTCCATCTCTTCTTGCACTTTGAAATGAAAGATTTAATTTATTTAAAATATGAAAACTTAGCTAAGATAACTTCACCAACTATTAACATCATTAAGATCATCTTAATTCAAATATTGTATCTTTAGCTATTGGGAGGGATGTCAATTTAAAAACATTAACACTTTTCTTATTCTGTTATATCTTTGCAAAACATTCCCTCAGGGTAACCATCATACTTTAGAGTGTAAAAGAAATGTTCATGTTCACTGCCCAACACTTTGCCTAATGCACTGAATAATCTGGAATTTATGAGACAATGTTTTATAAAAAAAAAATGACTTTTTTGTATGGCCAAGGCTTCTCTTTGTAAGCTGCAGTGCAATCACATTCTGGTGCCATACTTTTTATTTTGGAAAGAGCTCTGTATTGAGTCAATGTTATATGAACTGATAAAGATAAGATAAGTAAAGATAAGTATCAATTAACTTAAAAATTTCTTCTACTTCTGCTCAGTGGTATGCAAAATAAAAATTCAGAATGTATTCTAATAATCATATTTCACAAAATACATTAAATGGACACTGCCTAATACATTTGTACTTTCATGCACCTCCCAGATAAAAGAAACATGCAGAAATATTAAGCAAACTGCAACAGTTTCTTTGATATTTGCTGTTTTCATGATTCAATGTTTCACTCTGTTATTGATGAGAGACAACGTGCTTATCTTGTTTTGCTCTTTTCATACCATGCATGCCAACATTTTCATTACAAAGAATCCATAACTAGATTTGTAGACAAATACCCCATAGAAAAAATTTGAAGACATTTTCTGTTTGCTAGCCACTAATTCTTTCTTCTTTATAAAGAAATTTTCAGCTTGTTTTGCTTGTTTAATTCCAAGGGCCACTTCAACTTTGGTGGCATTATGAACTCATTTGATGAGGCCGTATAACAAATAACACACAATAGTTTTTCACTGGCAGCTTTCATGAAACCAAATTTTATATATTTATCAGAATGTTGTTGAATCCTGACTGTTTTCTTCTTTTTTGTACGTGTAATGGACAAACCTCATGTGGAGGTTTGTTATTGGCATTCTTGAAACTTGTGCTTGGCTGAATATCTCTCAATTGTTTATTGTTAGTGTTATTGATGAAACTTTTTCTGTCTGGACATCATTTGAATGCTTATCAAAACTAACAAATAAAGATTGAAATTGTGAATAAAACTGTGTCACCACCAAAAGTTGATTGGAATATAACAGTAAACTCTGTTAATAATTTCCAGTTCTAATCGGTTCTATCACTCTTATTTTTTTTTTTTTTTTTTTTTTTTAATTGTTGGGTTTGCTACTGTATTACAGTCGAGCTTAAACAAGTTTTGGTGGTGCCACAGATAATATTAAAATAAGAACTAAACTAAGAAATAAATTAATAAGCAGTAAATTTCAGTATCATGTGGCATCTATGAAGACATTAAATTACAAAATTTTTGCATCATATATTGACAAACTATAAAATAGTTTCATGTTAGTGTAATGCAGTTTCATGTTAGTTAGTGCCAGGTCATAGCCCAGCATTTGCAAAATTTATAGAGGACAAAAGTAAAAATGTAATATAAATAGAAAATAAACACGAGCAATGGACATTTAAATTGTGCATATGTTTTCTTATGGCCGGATATGTAAAATTCCACTAGCTGTGTTTCTGACCTCGCTGTTTCATTCACAAAAAATATTTTTAAAGTTTGAATTTAGAAGAAAGAGCCAAAATTAGTACATTAATTTTGAGTGAATCAGATTTCTACACTGGTTATCATTAATTAAGAAAATTGGTTATCTGGTTATCATTAACTCTTCAAAAGTGACAATTACTTAAAAAGCTAAGTTTCTTATGGGAATTTTGAAAAAGGTGGATGCATGCTTTATTTTCTTAAATATTGAGTATAGAAATGTACTTCGAATTACAAATTGTCTTACAATAAGAAAGGGAATTTTTTTCAAAACTCACTTTCAACACTGGTATATTGGAAAAATTTTATACATCCAAAATGAATGTAACTTTTATATATACTGGTTATTACTAATTAAGGAAAAATCATAAAAATGATGATTACTCAAAAAGTTAACACTTAGAATTAAATGAAACTGAACCATAGTATACAAGACATAGTAAGGTATAAAATTACATGAAAAGAAACTACCATACAATTATGATGCAGTGGCTCTCACTTTCTATGGAACTGATAGATCATATAATTGACAGCATCACACATCGCTGTATGTGCTTTAGGGGAAAACGAACTCCATATTTAATGTGATTTTCCTATATCAAATTGACACATCTGATTTGTTCACTGTTCATTTTATACATATCCTAATTTCTACAACACCATACAATTATGGAATTGCATAGAATATTATATGGAGTTCCTTTTCCCCTAAAGCACATACAGCGATGTGCGATGCTGTCAATTATATGATCTATCAGTTCCGTAGAAAGTGAGAGCCATTGCTCTTGCAAAGCAGTTGCAAACATGCCAAGGATCTGAAGAGGAGGACTGAGAACAGTTATACGTAAAAGCATACCAAACACGCTCGATAGGATTCGGGTCCAGTGATCGAGTTGGCCACTCCATGTGCTGAAGATACTCATCCATTGTGCAAGCCCTGTGTGGTCTAGCATTGTCGTCCTGTAGCAGGATATCATCACCTATTGCCCTGGCATTAGGGCTCACATAAGCATCAAGGATGTCATCTCTGTGGTTCTGATAATTCAAGGGTCCATGTGGAAAGACGTGGAGGTCTCTGCGACCACCTAGAGATACCACCCCAAATACAGACACCGCCTCCTTCATGTGCATCTCTTTTATGAATGTTTGATGGATGATAATAGGTTCCATATCTTCTCCAAATAAATAAGTGGCTACTATCGCTTTGGAGGCTGAACCTGGACTCGTCCATAAAAAGAACAATCCTCCACTGATCAGCTGTCCAGTGGATATGTTAATGTACTCACCTCAAAAGCTTCCTTCTATGAGGTGGCATGAGCGGCATGCAAATGGCTGATTGCCTCACATATGAACCTTCTTCATTAAGCCTTCTACATGCAGTTGATGTTGACATCGACCTTCTGTGGCTGCAGCAAGAGAGGATCTGAGTTGAGTCGTGATGCGGTTTTATTCCTTCCTGCACATAACAACAAATATCAGTCATAGGCACTGGTTGTAGCAGATGGCCAACCTTCGCTGAACCTCTTGGATGCCAAATCTGCAGGCAGAAATTGTTGCCAAAGTCTAAGAACAACAGAAGGACTCATATTTAGCCATATGGCTACTTCTGTCTGACTTTGTCCTGCTTCAGGTCACTGCTTGTATCACATAACTGTTATGTTTTATGATTCTTATTTTATTTAATATTAAAGAGATTTCTTTTAATTCAAGTGTATTTTAAAAGCAGTTATAACCTCATAGGAATGTTGGTATATTGCTTTTAAATTATATCGTAATAAAAAATTTTTGCATTCATGATGTATGCCTGAATAAATGTAGATGCCTGAATTTGAATATTTCTGTGCTAAAATTTTTAACTATGTGAAAGTAATGGATTTTAGCTAAGCTTCTGTCATTTTTATTTTAGGGATGTCTGAAAAAAATTGAAGAGAAGGTTACAAAGCATCTTTTTACAATCATTGTTGTTGGAATCAGTATTGCAATTATCCAGGTAATTTATCATGACATGACTGATTTCAATTCATGTGACAGATGTCTTCTTCAAAGAGGAATAATTTGATGTTTTTGTTAAAGTATAAATGTTATTGTTACAGCAGTAAGTTATGTGCTAAAAATGTCAGATTTTACATTTTTCATTTATTTCAAAAGGTTTTAAAATTTTTCATTTATTCTAACATCATACAAAACCTTGTTAAAATTAAAAAATAAAATTAGCAAACATAATCCAGGTTTCACTAAAAACCATAATTTTAATGGAAAGTGGTAGATTAAAAGTAATAAAAAATTAAAATACAGTAATGTTGTGACTGATCGCCTGAAGAATAAACTTTGAATAAATATGAGAAAGGTGGCATTGGCATAAAAACTAAAGAAAGTATATATACAGGCGGGTACAAGAATTAATAGAACTAGAAATAAAAAGGTTAATTAATAACACTAATCCACAGAGTGAGTCACAAGTCTAATATTTTAAGGAAACTCCTGATGAAAAGGAAATTATTCCATTTAGCATAAAGTATTATTTTTCTTCAACTAGATATTGAACAATACAGTACAGTACAAAGTCCGAGATCTGGACTCTCGTCGGCACTTCAGTGATTCCGCATTTGGGATTTTTCCGGATATTAGATCATCAGTTTAAATCTAGTAAGATCGCACGTAGAAATAATAAAAATATGAAATAGGATTTATGAAAAAATGAAGCATTTATGATCTAAAGGGTATCAAAATTTAGAAAAAAAAGCTTAATATTTATTTGTTTATTTTATTAAACATTTCTTTCAAAGTTATTTAAGTTGCTTCATTTTTTGTGCTCATATGTTCTCTTTATAGACAGACATAATTTCTTGTTCAGTTACAAAGTTCCATTGTTGAAGTCCTGTAATTGCTGTGTCTAGAATTCCGAGTGTCTTGCCAATTGAAATGTTTTTGCTTTCAGTAACCTCTCTGTAACTTTCTTCACTATTGGTAGCGGTATTTTCTAGATTTAGAACCATACTACAGCTTGAGCATTGCCATTACAATGAAAGGTTTAATCCTAGTATATGGAGCACACTGGATTTGGCTACTTTTGGTAACTGTATGATGAGCAGTAAATGTGACATATATGATGAGTAGTAAATGGGTCATTTTGGTGTTGGCCATAATTTTCAAAATCGTGCCAAGGCTGCACCGTATACTAGGATTTTACCCAATGAAAAACTATTTTATATCATCTTCATTTATTAGTGCATTTCTTTACAAAATCCGTTAATTAGAAAATTTCATCTTTGGTTTGCGATATCCAAAAACCTTCAGATTCGCAGCTATCGTAATAAAATTTAGTTATCATTCACTATAACATACTTAGCTACGTATCATGAGATTGGTGACTAAAGACAAGTTGTTCTGCTAAATTTTATCTTGCTTCTATCATGCACAGAAGACAATTAAGCCTAAAATTGAATTAGTTTAGTTATTTATTATACTTATGCCTATCCCTTGCACATGCTTAAGGCTTATCTGAGTCCTGAGTAAATAAATGTCCACATATACTTAAGGCTTATTGAGGGCTGGCTCTAGAAATCTTACCGTCTGCGAATCCTAAATTCTTGCTACCAAGCACCTCCCTTTGTCTTCCATAAATTCTGCCGCTCGGTGTGGCCATATGATCTTTGGCGCCGGTTCTGGGTTTATGTGAATAACAAGTCAGTTATTCTTAATAGCATTAAATGTAATCTTTTGGCCTCTGAGTATCATCAACAAAGTTTATTTTTAGCTTATGGAAAGAAATTGTTAAATTTCTTCTGTCAACATTTCTTAGTGCATTAAACTTAAATCTGTATTCATTGCCAAGCGTAATGTGAACGTAAAAGGTTACCATACTCTTTGTTATTCAATTACTAATATAAAAAAAAATTGGTTACTTTTCCGTTTTGCTGGCTCAAATCATGCCAAGCAGACTTTATTGGCGACAACATACAGTATACACATAAAAAATGTTAATAAATGTTAGTTCTAAGAATTTTTTATTTTGAAGGCATAAACATTTTAATATCGTTTTAAATTTTGTAAAATGCCAATAAATTTGTAAAAGTACATTAATTTTAAGAATTTATTATGCTTTCATGGTTCAACATCCAAATTCACTGGTTCATATCACATGGCCCCAAGTCATCTCATTTCACATAAACTATGCTACAAAGCTCTAATTCTCTCAGTAATTATCTACATTAATTTCAAGTTAAATCTTAATTTGGAATACAAGTTTAAATGCAAGACTTATTTCAATTCACGAATAGCATTCTCATTAGAATTGATGAATTTAAGCCTTGACTTTGCCTTTTCTATATTTTCGCCTTCGGGTGAGCGATGTGATTGCATCCTAATTGACTTAATTACCGCGAATAGCCTTGGGGCATAAAATTGTACTATCTGATAAAAATTCTATGTAATTATATTGAAAGAAACAATCTAATAAGAAATTGCTGTGACTTGTTTTGAAAATGAGGTGTAAAAGGTTACCAGCGAGGATATTCCGTTTGGCATCAGTTGTACTATTATTGGCGACTTTATTGGTTGTGCCGGCAAAACGGAAAAGTGCCAAAAATTGTTTAGGCATCGCTACATGAGCTGTCATGTGTTGATAAACATGTGTTGATGGAAGCAAAATAATGATTCGCCAGGTTGATGTCAGGGATATAAAATATTAGTAGGTGTAAAATCAACGATGCATCATCTAATATAGAATGTTTCGATTTGAGATGTATGGCAAGCAGATATCCAGCTATGAAGCCTAATCATTGATCATCGTTTCTTCAATAACAAGGTATTTTATTTAGTGCCATAATGATGTTTCTTCAATACTGAGGTATTTAGTGCCGTGGTGAAATTAAGAATCGGGACTTACCATATGAGCAAGTGGAATCAAATGCCCATGTGTAAAGCACACACACACACACAAATAAATAAATAAATTTTTAAAAAAAGTTGATGGTGACATTAAAGTCTGGATTTTAAATCATTCTGGATATTGGATGTCCAGATCTCGGACTTATACTAATACTGTACTAATATTCCACTAGCAAGATTCTAAGAAATGTTAGTATACAATAAAATAATTTTCGGAACCTATGGTCAGACATTTCTAAATTTTTGGTGCAATTCATGTGCAACATATTTCCATTGTATGCATATAAAATGTATGTAACAGAAAGTAGAAGTATAGCATGATACAGCATTGAAGGCTGTTAGTAAGACCCAAAAGTTCTTGCTCTCTGTCTTAAAGAATTTTTGTTCTAATTATATATAACAAAAGTGAATGTATTTTAATGAGGATAATTAATGTAAATGAGAACCGAAAAATGTAGGTTTAAACTATGAATCTTTCTTTCATCCTCATAATATATAATGTAAAAACTCATTTTTAATTAATAATTGTCAAGAAAATAGTAAAAGACATTTTAAGTAATTGCTAGTTTTTACCATCAGCTGGTATTGCATAATTAAAATTTGAGAAAAATATTTAGTTCAAATTTAGTATGTGGAAATAATATTTGGAGCTACTAATTTTTAGACTTTAATTACAACAGTATGCTTTAAAAAGAAATTTTTGTACTTTTATATTATTTAGTGAAGTATTTCTTCATTTCATTGAAATGTTGAAAGGTTTACAAAAGAATATTGAAGTATGTATTCCATTTTTTTTAAATTTTCCTTAAGTATATTGGAGGTAGTTAATGTTTCAAAGTTTTGCTAGAAATATGGTATAATAAAATTGGTAACTTAAATGCTTTTAAAGTAAGGTGCAGGAATTGCCATAGTTAAATGATTCTATGAATTCATAATTGCTGTAGTTAAATGATTTTGTGCTTGAGAAAAAATTAAAAAGTAAATAAATAATAAAAAACAGGGCAGATTCAAAAGTAATTAATATAAACACTTCACCTATGCTAAATTAAACTTGATGAAATTTTTATGAAATCTGACCAATGTTAGCATTACAGCTTTAAAAGAAGACTGGAAGTTAATAAAAATATAAAGTGCTTTTTTGCATATAATTTCCTGCAATACATGAATATATACATAGGAAAACTCCTCCTCCTCCTCAAAAAAATCTGAAAGGCTTCATTGAAGTTTTACAAAGTATGAGATTGATTAAAAAAAAAAAAAATTCCAAATTTCAAATTTGGTCTTACGGATGCCCATATTTGCAGAATTACAATATTCAAAATTAGATGGCTGTTGTTTTATCACAATGCGAGAAACATTCATTTATGCAGATTCTTAATTATTTAATTTCTTTAAATATAATACAGGGCTCTAATATTTGATGGCAACAATTAAAAAAGTGATTTGCCATTTATAGCGAATCAATGCAAAATGCCAAAACAAAATTAATAGCCTTTTGGACAAATTGCCCCTTTGGGCTAATAAACTTCAGTTAAAGGTGGATTTAATTACTGTATATTGAAAACCGTAGTTTTATATTTATGTGCGTATCACAATAAAAGTACATCCTCTCAGTGTATCACCTTGAAATGACTACCTTTGTAAAAGCAACTAGTTTTACTGAGAACAATTAAATAGTAAGTAATCAAAAGAAGCTTCTTGGGCAGCTATTAGAATTTGAAGCTTTTAGATTTTTGTACTTTTTTAACAATTATTTTAGCACATCCATGAAGCTTGTTAGTTGAAAAGAAAATTAGTAAATTAGCTTTCATTTTTAACTTGGCCTCGTGGATAGGAGTAGGGATGTTGCCCCTCCTTAGTTGTAGATTCAGATCAGAAAGATTAGAAAAAGCAGCTGTCGATAACAGCATCTCAGTTAATTAGTTAATGCAGTACAAAGTCTGTAATCCGGACTCGTCGGGACTCGATTCCGAATTATCGATCATCAATTTAAATCTGGTCAGATGGCATGCAGAAATTATATGATTAAAAATATGAAACCATAATTTATGAAAGAAAGAGCAATTATGGGTATCAAAATTCTAATAGGAATATTAATTATTCTAATGGGTATCAAAATTTACCAAAAAAAAAAAAAAAAAGAAGCTTAATATTTATTTGTTTACTTTGTTAAATATTTCTTTCAATGTAAGTTGTTTAACTTGCTTTGTTTTTTGTGCTAATACTTTCTCTTTAATTCTATAAACAGACATAATTTCTTGTTCAGTTACAAAGTTCCACTGTTCAAGGTCCTGTAATTGCTGTGTCGAGAATACCAACTAACTTGTCAATCGAAATTTTTTCGTTTTCAATAACCTCTCTTCACTTTCTTCACTATCGGAAGCGGTATTTTCTGGATCTAGAACCATACTACAGATATTGCCGTCCATTAATTGATTGATTATTGGGGCATTGTTGTCGCTATGAAAAACTTTTGTTATATCATCTTCATTTATTACTGCTTCTCCACATTTCTTTACAAAATCCAATAACTAGAAAATTTCACCTTTAGTTTGCGATGTCCGAAAACTTTCAAATTCGCGGCTATCATCTTCATCGTCTTCGCCATGAAATATGGTAGCTGGCCATAAATTATGCCAAACACTTTTTAACATATCTGGAGACACATCCTCCCACGATCTTGCGATGCTCCACACAGCAGATTTTATGCTAAAAATTCCACGAATTCAAAACAGTCCTGCCATTGTTTTAAGAAATTTAACATAGGATTTTAAAAATGCTACTTTATATTTGCATTTCAGCACGTGCACTATTCCCATATCCATAGGCTGAATGATAGATGTACAATTTGGAGAGAAGAATAATACGGGTACATTATCTTTCAATAAAACTTTAAGTATGTGCCGAATTGTCAACAACTGTTTTTGAATCATCAGGTAAACTAACCGAATTCAAATGTCACCGAGCCTCAGGTATAAAATGATTTTCAAACCAATCATTCATCAACGCTTGTGTCATCCATGCTCTTTTATTTGCGCGATATATAACGGGGTAAATCGTTACTCCTTTAAATGCTCGAGGTCGTGCATGTTTTCCAATTACAAAAAGTTCGCACTTGTGCGTTCCTGCAGCATTTGCACATGCTAAAATTGTTAGTCTCGCTTTGGAATCTTTGACACCAGTTGGAGGCTTTTCTGTAGAGGTTGCTAAGGTATTTCGCAGTACATATTGCCAGAAAAGACTAGTTTCATCAGCGTTATAAATTTGTTCTGAAGATAATTGAATGAGTTCAATGAATTCATCTACAAATTGTTTAGCAGCTTCAGTATCAGCTGAAGCTTTTTCACCTGAATTTTTCAATTGTCTTATACCATGGTGATTTTTAAATTTGGTTAATCAACCTGTCGAATATGTGCACTCAGTGTTTAAGTTCATTTCTTCATGAAATATTTTGGCTTGAGCCATTAGCATCAGACCTATCAATGCCACACCCTCGCTGCGACCTGTTTGACCCATTCAAGCATCACTTTTTCATGATCTTCACTCAGAATTCACAAAAAATTCAAAAATTTCCCTTTTTTTTTTTTTTTTTGCTTTTGTCATATACAGTTGGCTTTCAAATGTCATACTCCTCACATAATTTTGAGACGGATATGCCTTTATCCATTCTTTGCAGCAATTCCACTTTTTGTTTGATGGACATCGAAACATGCTTTCCCTTTGTAGAAATAATAACTGATAATAGAATAACTACAGATTTTGAATTAAAATAACAGTACTGTTGCACGCTTGTTAGATACAAATACAGTTCTGCATGACTTTAAATATTTAAATAGCTACACAGCGCCTACTCAAGCTTGCTATTTTAAAAGAGTTCGTTTTCAAATACTTATTTATTTTTTTTAAGCTCAGTTAAAACCAACCTCATTCTGTCCTTCAATATGAGTTAGTTATTTCTCGAAAAGAACTCCTCCTTAGGATAACCTTGAATGAAAAACTCTTCAAGCATTTATGTATATTGTGTCTGCATCTTGAAATCCTTTGGCAGCTCCAGAATTGGAAACTCTTTTTGACATAATCGAAAGTTCAAGCTTAATTTTTATAAAATTGCTCTAAAAAAAGTCTGCAAAAAACAATAAGCCGGATCAAATTAGAAGATTAAGGAACAGCGCAATCTGCAACATTAACTGAAATGCCTTAGAATCCGTAAAGATAATTTTAGCCTAGCTTATACCGTCCGTTATACATTAAACGTGCATGTGTAAAGCATACAAAAAAAAAAAAAAAAGGTTTGTGGCTTTGAGGCCCGGATTATAGATCATTCCGGATAATGGATGTCCGGATTACGGACTTTGTACTGCATTTAGTGTTATAACTGTTAATATTTTGTATTCATGATTGCTATAATCAGTATTCTTCAGTTGAGTTTGAATAACGCCTGCAGTTCTATCTAATTAGAGCATAAACTTTAGTATAAATGTAGCTATATGTTATTAATAAAATGCTTAAATGACCTTTTGAAGCTCTTGTTCAATTTAACTGTTTGCTACATCTGAATGAAGGTTAAACTTCATACTATACACTCAGAAAACAACTAAAACATGTGTGTTAGCCTCTGCAAAATCAAAAATACAAAGCCCCTTCCCCAAAGGGGGGAGGGATTTGTAACCAGTCATGTGATTTTAAGAGGAGGATGGAATATTGGTATGATTTATCAGATTTTATCTTTCTTTGTCTGATGCACTACTGAGTGTATAATCTGTTAATTAAAAAAAATTAATTATGTTATTGGATGTTATTTAGTGCTAAGTAGATAGAGCTGCTAGTATCACACTGGATTCATATTTCTAGTTTTATATCCACCGACTTTTTTTGGAAGGGGATAAATAATTTAATATATTTTTTCTAAGTGCATATTTATGTTTTCTGAATATTATATATATATTTTTTTCCAATCTAGATCTTTGGATTTGTTTTCTCTCTGGTCCTTTGTTGTGCAGTATCTGGAAGAGATTACTAAGTTGCTGCTTGGCTTGTAAAGAATTCTGGTGCTGTCAGTAAAAGCAAGCATACACCAGAAATGTTGATTTGTATATATATTGGGTAACAACAGAATTGCCAGTACCTTTATTACATGCCACCTCTTTTATGTGGTGATCATAAATCCTGCATTTTGATACATCTCGTATGTGATAAACATTGTTAACAGTTTTCAGATGATATGCAGAATGTAATGTATCAGTAATGGGTATTTTTTTTTAAATTGCCGAATATAATATCTTTTAAATTTATTATGTTCGTAATCATGTATTGTATATGTTTTGTTATGTTAATTATATTAGTTTGACATTCAATCAACTTCATCTCTAATTCTATTCCCATTTAAGACTGGTTTTGTATTTTGTGTGATGTAAGATACACAGTATGTAGCACTGAAATCTACAGTTATTTATCATACTTTGAGTATATGAATGATATTTTATTCTGATTACAGAAACACGTAATAATGCCAAAGCTGTAAGATCTCATCTCATAAATGACAACTCAATAGCTGTGTAGCTGTTTTGTTAATCTCTGAAGACTGAAACATTAAATCTCAGTTAAACCCTGTTAGCTATATTCTAATACATTAAAATGGCTTTTCATGATTTTAAGACTTTATACACATGTTTATATCATTTATATTATTTGAATAATTTTTCCCTTCCCCCTTTTTCCCCCAACAAATTTTATTTTGAGGTATCTATTTTCACTTTTCTTAATTTGGGGGTAAACAATTTTTTTTTTTTTTTTTTAAAAGAATTGCACTTATCCTAAGGTTTCAAAGAATAAGAATTATTTAAGTAGTTAAAGAGAAGTATTAAGTGCAGTTTTGTATGTGCTGTATTTTTTCATTATAATGCTTTGTTAAATATGGGTGCTGAAAGCAGTATAGTTTAATTTGTAGAATGATTAGAGTGAATAAGATTGGAATTTAAAATATATAGAATTGTTTGAATTACTCACAATTATAAGGATTTTTACAAGATACAGGTATGAAGTAATAAAATAACTCATAATACATAATTTATTTCCCCCAATAATGTGATAAACTTAATTCAATGAACGATTTTGCTATCTTTCATGTGTAAATTTGTACTTACACAATGCAGGGTCAATTATCACATTCTTTAGTTGTTATTAAAATGTTGCAATCTTCACTTGTAACTGTTTTCAAAAATGCTGGGGACATACAAAGAAGTAACAGTTGTTTTCAAAAAATCTTCCATCACACTGTAAGGTTTTATTTTTAGTTACTATAATTCTAAATTATGCCAGTAAATACCATCATAGTGCTTATATTAAATATGTGTGCTTAAAAAAATAATTTATAAACGTCTGTTTAAAGATATTACATTGAATACTTTAAAGTGTAATATGTATGATTGGCATAATTCCATTATTATCAATTCGTGAAAGTAACTAAATGAAAAAAATTAGCCCCTCCGTCTCCCCCAAAACTCTGAACTTCTGATTTCTTTGTTCAGACAGTGGTATTTTTTAATGTAATAAAATATGTTATGAAATTGTATTACATTTTAAAGATTAACTCATTAAATACTTGATTTATATATATTAAATCAAATATTAACCATTAAAAATATATGTATTTAATTAAATTCCAATAAAATTACTTTTTTTTAACTCAAGTATTAAATTTATAAAATCCATTATTATTGTGTTGTTTTATATTTTAAAATATTAATAATGTAAGTTTGCATCAATAAGTTTACAGTCTTGTTTTACTTGCTTTGCTCCCGCAAAGGAGGAAGATAAAGAACTGTAAGAAGGAAACATATTGACATGTGATTTCTGATATATATTTTTCATGGAAATAACAAAGTTTAGCTGTTTGAAAATATTTTCATTTTTTTGTATTTGTTAACTTAAAAAATCAATATTTTTTAAAACTAAATTGGATAATTTAAAACTAAATTACTAATATTGGAGAATCCTTTCCTCCAAAAAAATTTGAAATGAAAAATCAGAGAATTCAAAATTATGTAGGCTTAAAGTTTAATAGTACAGTAAGTCTTTTAATTTTAGAAATAATAATGTTAACAGGAAACATTTTGTCTCCCTCACTGCTAACAGTAACCTTTTCGTCATCTGAATTATGGTTTCCTTAATTTTCATGCAAAGGTATATTAAGAATTTAAATGCTATAATGCATATTTATAAAAAAAAATAATAAAACCACTGCACATAATTATTGAAGTATCGGGTCTGTAATCTTGTTACTACTAAGAAGTATGAAAATATTAACAAACATACTGTATATATCTGTTGCACTGGTAAAGAGTTTATCATTAAAATCTGAATGATGTACTATAAAGATTCTTCATGGTTGGGAATAATTCATCAATACCTTGTTCTGCTATTTTATTTGTTCTCTTTTATGGTGGAAAAACATGTTATGATAAAAGGATAATATTTTACATAGGGTAATTGAAAAATTATTATGTAATGAAGAGTCAGAGTTCTGCTCCATACAAATTTTTTTCTGTTCTCTTATTTCAAATGTTTATAATAGATTTCTAAACAAAAACTTGTCACTACGTATATCTAACATATTGTGAAAAATATGTAAAATTTATGCAGTCTTGAACAGGATATATGTGCCTTAAAAGAATGTTTGCATATATATATGGTATGCTAAAGTAAGTAGTACATTTACATAATTTGTTTTATGTGTACAGCTTTTGATAACACTATTGTATTTTTCAATTCTTCTAATAAGTAAGGTACATTTTTCTTTCAGATATGCTTCACACTGTTATATAGATCAATTCATTATGTGCTCAAATATACGTATATTCATGTAACTTATAATAATTCATTATAAACAAGGTGTTCTTATTGGTTTACTGTACATTAATTCCATACATTGTTATTTTTCTGAATTTTATAAATCAATAAAATTTCTGTAACTCCTGTAATGTTTTATAGTATCTTTTTATTCATAACTTTTAAATGCTAAAGGTTGAATATAATTTAAAAATTTTGTGAAAAATGGCATTATACTATCACTTTGATTTATAATTTGATAGATTTAGAAAATTAATTCCTTTAAAATGATTAACTACAAGAAAAAGAATGGAAAATTGGAACTTATTTTGAAAATAATAAAAACAGAAATAGCCTATCCCTTAGAAGAACAAAAGTAAGTGTGTTAATGAAATTTCTTCTGTAGAATATTATAAAAAATTGACATTGAAAGAGTTTTTAATTTGCATATATATTAAAATAGCCATATGTACCTCATTAAACTACTAATGACACAAAATGCAAAAAAAGCTAGTCAAAACCATTCTATTTATTTATATTTTTAAAGCTTAGTTAGTGTCTGCTGATGGAAAATAAAATTTATGCTTATTATGGTACACATATTTATCTATGTGTTCTCCAGAATGTAGTAAATCTACATGCTGTTGTCATGTAAGAAGCCTCTTTAACATGTTTGTACCACTTATGGATAACATCATATTATCCTCAAATCCCATCTTGAGCTAAATATAGATGAAGTAAGTTGGAACCAAACCAAGCTTATATGAAGAGTGAAATAAAGAAGTCCAATAAAATTTTGACATGCTGTATCGTGATATCACTGTAGCGCTTTATGTTTTCCATCTGAAGAATAAGGACCCACTCTGTTCGTGCTTGACACAATTTTATATGATTTAAGCTTCTGCAGTGTATTGGTATAAATAGCAGCATTCATTGTACTGCCGAGTTCTTGAAAATCTGCAAAGAAAACCACTTTTGGTCTCAAAATATACTATTGATGATTGCTTAATTTCCTGTTTGTATTTCTTCTACTAGGGATGCTTTTCAATTGGCTGCTTTTCTCATTCGGGTTTATGATAATATATCACGCTTTCATCTCCAAAGACAATAATGTCAAGAAATTTGCAGTATTGAACAAGCTAAGTACAAGAGCAGTTTTCTTGTGTGATCATTTATTAACATACAACCAGCAGGAGATACTTTCTTGTTTAGGTGACAGTTAATTCTCTAGTACATGAAAGCTTATGCCTGCCACTGCACACTCTTCCGTAATTATGATGCACCCGTCTAGTAAATAAGCTGATTCACTCTTGTCTCATTCTCGTTGGCCATTTCTTTGAATTTGTATTGAATCATTGAACCATCTAATCAATATCCATATAATGTTAATATTAGTTCCATGTTTATCAAAGAAAATCTTTACATGGTAATGGTTACAGTAACCCATTTTTTAATAAAGTATGCTAACCATTCGAAAATTTAGCTGCCTGTTGCTGTTTCAAATGAATGCCAATGTCACTTGCCATTTCCATTTGCTTCTTACAATAGGAATATGTAGCAAACTTGCATTTGAGAGCAGGAATATATTGTAACTAATCCCAAATTATGGGCAACTTTTTCTTACTTCTTAAATTTTTAAAAAGAGGTTAATTTTTAATAAGATATCTCTGCTAATTAAGTGTATTTATAACATTATTTGTGAAAGAAGTTCACAATATATTTGCATTTGTTTCTTTTTTTAGAGCAAAGGGACGTTAAGCCCAGAAGGGGCATTTTGCTTTGAACGACTAAAAACATTGTATCACTTTTCAAATGCCTGCCACTGAATATTATCACCCTGTATTAAAAAAATAATAAATAATGAAGAATGTGCATGAATGTATGTATATTTCTCGCATTGTGAAAAAGACAGCAGTACCTAGAGCCATCAAATTTTGAATAGTCGTTCACCCAAATATGAGCACCTGAGAACCTGAGTTCAGAATTTGATGTATTACGTATTTCATATTTTGTAAAACTTTAACGGATTTTTGATTAACATACTCAATGATTTCAAAGCGAGCAATGGCAACACTGTACAGAAAAAAGAAAAAGGAAAAAAAAACATTTTTATCTACTGCGTGAGATTGTCTAATGGAAATTCTAAAGATACGCTGTTTTTAAAAATTTTTATTCGAAAGGGAATGCTCTGTATGTGTACGTAAATGAAAAAAAAATTGCCCCTTTGGGGGGTAATTTAAAAATATGAAAGATTTCATTTAGTATAGCAATTAAATTGATGATGGTGGTCACATAGCTTAATCCTTCATGTATTCAGACAAATGTATACATATAATATATAATAACATTAATTCACATGAAAGAAATACAATATTTTGTCATATATTTTTCAAATTGTTTATTTTTACATGTTTTATTTCGAATTATGAGCAATAAGTAATATCAACATGAAACAAAAACTTTCATTATGGAAGATTGTAATTGTATTTTTATTATATATGCATTTTTACAGTGATTATAATTATCAGCAAACTTTGAAATAGTGTACAAAAATATCAGTCTAATTTTTAGATTTAAGATTTGAAAAAGTCCAGTCTAAAAGTATGAAAATTTCAATTCTTTTTTAGTACAAAAGCACTTTTAAATGCATGAATTTAAGTATTTTCGAGTAAAAAGTTTCTACACATCAGTATATGCAAAATTAAATAATAGGAGCTGCTCAGCAGCATATATTTGGAATTTGTTTTGAACATTTGTCTTGAAATGAAATCTGGTTTATCATTTTATTTTGGTTTTCCTTTTTGGGCAATAAACAACTCTCTTCTCTCTAATTATAAACAAATGTCTTAATGCAATATTTTCAGACTTCTTTGCAAAGGCACATAGCAAAAATCATGCCAAATATCTGAAACAGAAGGGGAAAAATTAATATCTCTATAAGATATTCAAATACATTTTTTAAGAATTGTGTTTTTTTTGTGTTTATGATTAGATAATATGAAACATTTTGTACTAGTACTTAGTAATAGAATTGTTAAATTTTTTTCTCTTGAATAATAATTTGAAATTCACTATTAAGATTTTCCTTGCAACTGACTATCACTAGTTATGCTACTGTTATGGAATTTTTGCTTAAGATAATATTAATATTAATAAGAGGGCAGTAGAGGGAAATAGATTTCTTTAATGTAAGAATCATGTACTTTCTTTTCCTACTACATTAACCTTTCTTTCATTTAATGTTTTATGCAGCAGTATTTTGGAATGTCTTCTGGCAGAAGTATGCATATTACCAACAGTCCTGAACAAATTAGGTAATTTTGGCTATAGAAAAGTGTTATGAGATTACATGTAATTTAGATGCAATGTCTGTCTTTAACAGAAACATTAATTTATGATTCAATCAAAATGAACAGCAAAAGAATAAATGCACATATAAAAAGTCAATAATGATGAAACTAGTTAGGAATATGGGTGAGACAAAACAGGCAGGAAAAGTGAATGGATATAGGTGATATGACATGGTGGGAAAATGTGGGTGGAACACTGTGATTTCACATTTTATTCAAGTATACCCCAACTGCATTGACTGTACAGCTCTGCCCCAATTTTGATGGAGAGCACCGCAGAATCTTTTACCCCCCCCCATCTTTCCTATCTACTAAAGCATTTGAGAGTATTTTAAGTGCCTCCATTCAACATAGCATTATGGAAATTCAGTAAAGTATGGATGCATATGAATGTCTTCTGTCCTAAGGGATATCTTGCTAAATTCAGTGTAATTGCATAGTCAGATCAGAGTTCTGTTATGGCTGTATATGTTCAAATGTGTTCAGCAGTAGAATACTGCGGAGAATATTCTTAGCTACATATGCTCCATGCATACAGGCATTACCATGTTGAAATTCAGCCCTTGCCCTGGTAGACTTCACAGCATGGATGCTACAACAATCCATAGGATGTTGTTGATGTAATATTGGTCGGTCAGGATAGTATGGAGGTTACCTCTCCGTACATGAGAGTTATGGTTGTCCATGCATAGTGAAAATTGAGACTTATCACCAAAAACAATTGGCTCTCATCTGCTACATTCCACCTGGCATGGATGTGATACCACAGCAAATGTTGTTGGCAATGAATTGCCATTAATGGTAGACATAGCAACAGGCATTGGCAATATAATCTCTTCCCACCAGGTGTAGTCAAATAGTTCTATGTGACACCAAACATTCTGGAGGTAATGAGTGGGTTGCAACAAATGATGAAAAATGTAACAATCAGTGTGGTGACAGCAGTGCTTATGATGGTTCAGTTATGCTTTGAGCCATCTTTCACAAGCTGCAGCAGACAGATGGCATATTGAAACTACTGCTAACAACACTCTATTTTAACATTCATCTTCATGTCTTGATGATTTGACAGTATGCACTTTGCCTTCGGGAAGGTAGTGCTGCGTCCTCTTTGGAACCCGCTCAGTTGTGTATGACTTTGTTAGTTGGTGTCTGAAGCATTCTCCTTAGCTACAGCCAAAAACTGTGGAAAGCAATTCAAATTTACATGGTGGGCAGGTGCTGTTTTTTTTTGGGGGGGGTATCTGCTGGTTTGCTGCATTCCAGCATGCTATATATGTACTGTTTGCCAGAATTCAGGCTACTAATATTTAGGAATTTTGTCCTGTCGACCACCGAGCTAAAGGTGATATATTATTAATTCAGTCATAATGAAATAAGTATTTAACATTTCTGTGAGCTTTACATGATGCTGGTTACTGTGTCTTTGGGTGTCATAGCCCTGTTAAGACCGTAGGACGAATATTATTTGCTAGGTGAGTTGGGCTGCACCCCTCAAATCACTATGTCTTTAAGTATGAATCCTGAAGAAAGTGTGGATGTTTTTAAGTGTATAATATTGTTTGTGTGGCATGGAGGTGCTTAAAATACTAGCAAGCTGAAAGTCCTCTCTAGTGGTTTGGCGGTAAGGAATTGGGGACCCTTGGATCTTAGGAGTTCCCCATTAAAACTGAGACAAAGCTGCACAATTGATGTGTTGGGGCTATACAACTAGCAGTGAAATTCTGGTGTCCCACTCACTTTGACCTTGATCCTGAAAGGCTTTTAGGAAATTTTGATGTTAAACTGGTTTTAGCAAGAAGTATTAAAAAAATGTGCATTTGGATGCAATATTCTGTATACAAACTTTAATAAATGTTTCATCAGGGTGCCTCACACTATTGCTGTTATCAAAATTTTTAAAATTTTGCATAGAAATGTTTGCATTGTTCTTCTCTGCTTTTTGTTGCCCTTTTTTCCCATACTTGCTAGCAAGGTACTTGTATGTATATGCATATTAGAGAAAGAGAGGTAGATATCATAGAGACAGTCGATGTCTAGTATGATATCTATGACTAAGAACGCTCCCACAATGAAGAAAAAATTCCCATAGGATATCATCAAATGAAATTCACATAGCTAGCTTATTGTATTTGGTCGATAACTCGAGTGGGATGCCAGAAGATTCCTTATTGCTCTTATTGGAGGAAGAAGGTTCCCAGTCATACTGTATCTTCTAGTGCTATTTATTGGATAGTTAGAAGCAATAAGAAGAAAGCATGCTTCTCATTAACAGTCTACATTCAACTAACAATGTTTTTTGTATGTTGGATTAAAATTTTGTATGACAGAATCTGCTTTTAAAATTGGTTCCAGAATATTGTATTTCTCGGAACAATAACCATCTCAATCATTGCCTTCTTAATATGAAGGGGATTTTATTTCTGAGCATTGCCAACTACTATTGCAGCAGTGAATCTTGAAATTCATTATACTTAAGTGATGGATCATGGTTTTTCTCATGCTCGGCTGACAAAAAAAATCTTATGGTGATGCATTGGCAATGAAATCTCATCTGCTGGTGACCATATTTTTTATCCAAGACAATGCCTGTTTGCTCATGATGAAGGTCTGTAAAGATAGTTTGCATGATATAATCATCTGGTGGCATATCAAACCTTCAAGGGACGTTAGATCTCTAAATACAACCCCATTTGCAACATGATAAAACTGACAATGTGCATGAGCTATTACAAAGTATCTTCAGCAACACATTCTGAAGAACTGCATTTGGCTTTGAAGGATTGCATGCCAGATTGAATATCATCTTGCATTGTTGTCACCAGAGGTGATTCTATATAATATTATTGTATAATGGTTTAGGATGTATATTTGCTAAATTAATGGATTAATTGCTATCCTGCTTAAATCATGTCTTCATCTTTGTTCGTATGTAAATTTCATCAAGATCAAACAATGCACAGATTTCCATTTGATACAATGTGAATTTCGATTTAAAATAATTTTATCTAACTAGAAAAGTTGTCATAAATTTTTAATGCATTTATTCTGGTAGGGTATGATAGGGTTCAGCTTATCGAAGTTCTACTCTATATTGTTTATTAAAGAACTCAAAAAATTATGCTGAGTTTTAGAATAATTTTTGCATTTATATGATTTACATGGTTAATGAAGCAATTTAATACTAGTAAAATACTGTATAAAAACTTGATACTATAATATTTTTTTAAAAAATTCTTACCTCAAGTGCTGCTACACCACATCCAATAGCCACTAAAAGTATGCTTGTACGTTTTATAAATTCTTCCAGTTTTATCAAACAACCCTATAAATTTAGAAAGAGAAAAATGTGTTCTTAGATACAAAATGTGAGTGTTATTTTACTTTTACAGTGCAAAGATGAGTTCTAATGCATTAACTGCATTTCCTTTTTTTTATTTTCTGTAAATTGAACAAACAAATTATAGGTGCTTTAGAAGAGGAGGATACTTTTTGTAAACTATGAAATAGACTTTTATAGAAAAGAAGTTTTCTGAACATTTTTCATTGATGAAAAGTTTAAACAGGCAAATACATTTGGTATAAATAACTGAAAAATTAATCTGTGTAGCTCTCATTTTATACTTCTGCTCCGTAACTTATGAAAAAATACCAAAAGTTAATGTATGTGTAATTCATTAGAATATAACAATAAACAAGTAAAGAAATGCAGCTAAGTGAACAGTTGTCATACAACAATGTCTAAAAATGGTTTGATAATAACTATAAAAATTATAAAATAATATCCCCAAAAAGCACAGTAAATAAAATACAAATCTAAATCTAGTGACACAAATAATAACATAATCATTAAATATTAGAATTACACATTCATAAGTAGTGACAAAACATTTAGCAGGCCTGTAAAGAAAAGTGCTAGTTGTAACTCAAAATATTGTTCTACATCAAGGTACCTAATGGTTAAGGTTAGGTTATTTGAACATGGCAAAGCGACAAGGGCTATCTGCCTAAGAGGAGGAAGCCTTTGTGAAGGATTTTCTGTAGGGAGCTTATTGGTATTGATGTTACACATCAGAAAAACCAACCACGAAGCCAGCCCATTTGCTTTGGATCGAATCCAAAACATGTCGAACTGCCAGTGTTCAGCAGTTTTAAACACTTGGATATTGCTGTGGCTGAGGTACATAATATATAACTTTAGTAACATTTTATGTATCTAATTATAATAAAAATTATTAGTCTGATGTATTAAAAAATTCTATAATTAAAATGCATTCAATTAGATGAGTGACTGAAAAATAAAATACAATGTTAGTCATAATTCTACATAATAGTTTTTAAATTCATAACAAATAATTTAAGGAATCACTATATACACAGGGTGATTATAATTAAAGTTTAAGTTTCAAAACGCTATAAAAAAAGAACCACTCATGAAAATGACGTCAAATTTGAAAGGAATGTTATTGAAGAAAGCGGAAAGCGTATGGCAGAAGAAAAAAATTAGTTTCAAAAGTTAGCAACAGATGGCGCTGCAAGCGGAAGAAGACGTAAATTAAAATGTTAGTTAAATTTCAGTGTTATAAAGCCGCCAGGTACCAGGCTGTTCCTCATTTCGCGTCTCAGACGTTCGCCATGGGTGTTTCACTGCAGGACCGCGCTCTGCTGGTAAAACTATATTACAAGAATGATGATTGTGCAAGAGTAGCTCTGCAAAAATTCAGGACACTGAAGGGTATAAAGGAAGGCCTTGGTCCTATGAGTGCCGTAGGTCTAAAGAAAATGATAAAAAATTCGAAACGACAGGTTCGTTTGATGTGCAATCTGGAAGAGGGAGAAAACGAGTGCATTCGACGGTAGTTGAAGAAGTGGCCACAGCATTACAGGGGTTCGGCCGATGGTGTGCAACCGTGCAGTGCACGAGGAATTGCCCGAACATTGGACAGGCCTACGAGCACGGTGAAAATTGTACGAAACATCCTGCAATGCTATCCGTACAAAATTGGCCATGTGCAGAGTTGCTTCCGTCTGACCTGACAGCTAGGGAGACGTTTGCGTTAGAATTCCTGGCTCGCATGGAAGTGGATAATGAATGGCCGTGGAAACTTTTGTGGACAGATGAAGCCCATTTCCATCTGGCAGAATACGTGAATACCCAGAATTGTCGAATATGGGCAACAGAAAATCCACTGCAACGCACCCCGTACCACTTCATCCTGAAAAGTTCACGGTATGTTGTGGCTTTACGGCATCATTCATCCTACAACCATATTTTTTCGAGCAGACGAGTGTTTCCGGTCCTGTTACCGCAACGGTCACTGGTCAGAGGTATGCGTCTCTTTTGCGCAACCACGCGATTCCAGCTCTGCAACAGCGTGGATGTGTGGATGAAATCATTTTTATGCAAGATGGCGCTCCTCCGCACATTGCACATCCCGTGAAGCGGCTGCTGAGGCGCCATTTCGGAAATGCTCGAATTATCAGCCGTCATTCCCTACAGCCTGGCCGTCCCGATCGCTGATCTTACTCGTGTGATTTTGGCTGTAGGGATATCTGAAGGATGTTGTGTTCCATGCTCCAATTGAAAATTTAGCGGAATACGCATTTCGCAACACATTGTTAAACACCCCGGAGACACTGCGATCCATTGTGGAACATGCTGTTTGTCGCTTTCAACTTGTTGCACACAACGGTGAACACCATATTGAAATTTTTTGGCGCCAGTCTCGCTACAGTCCGAACTTCTTTGATGAATGGTTCTTATGCGGTATGTCGCCGCAAAAACTCTTGAAACCGATTTGTCCCTTTCGATGTGATATGTACAGTCATGCAAATAAATTATTCAACAATCTAATTGTCAATGCGTTTTATGTGTAACTTCCATCTTAGCGTTTACGAATCATTTGTCGTTTCTCGTTCGTGATTCTGCCGCTTACAGCGACATCTGTTGCTAACTTTGAAACTAAATTTTTTCTTCTGCCAACGCTTTCCGCCTTCTCAATAACATTCCTTTCAATTTCACATCATTTTCATCAGTGGTTTTTTTTTATAGCGTTTTGAAACTTAAACTTTAATTATAATCACCCTGTATAATATTGGAATAGAAGCAAAGTAACCATTTTTTAAACATATATCACAAATGCTTAACATGTTCATAGAATAGATATTTATGCTTTTACCCACACGAATGTCAGTATATTATGATCGATCGGAGCCGAAACAGCGATCCGAATGAAAAAATCGTAAGAGGTTATTGGGGAAAGAAAGTGTGAAGGAAAGCCTTCACAAGCAAAGGTCATATGACATGAAATCTGAAGACTGAGGTGACCACCACGTTTAAATGCGTCGTCTCTTCTTGATGAATCTTATCTTTGCGGCAGATTTTAATTGAGAAATTTTTGTAACTCTCTGCGTAGCAGTAAGCCAGATTAAGTCTCTGAAGGACCTGATAATCAGTTGTTTTTATTCAATTGTGGCATCATTAAGCTTTCTAATGAAGCATGACTGTCTCCATATCAACAGTCATGGCCATATTGACCATCTGTGAATTGTTTAAGGGGGGAAAATACCCCTACGGGCTTTACCTGCTTTTTTTTTAATCTAATAAAATTTAGTATTAATTCCATTGTTTATTTGTAATATAATAATTCTATATAAACTATTAAGAAGTGTGTTTATTGTTTTTGAGACGCTTAAATTATTGAGCAATAATATAACAGATTTATGCTGTGTCAAATGGCACATTATTAAAATTCTTAATACTTCTTGGAATGGTAATATCTAGCAGGTTGAATAGATTGTTAGGATTATGGTACTGTAACGTATCGCCCCCCCCTCGAAACTCTAAAGACTTCACTTTATATACGTTCATAAAGCTTCGATCCATTTTCGTGGAAAAGTAATTATTTCCCAGTTTTGTTACAAGCGTCAAGAATTGGTTGTAAAATGATAACAGCAAATAGAAAAGGTGTTGTTACAACACGTTAGAAACAATTATTGTGTGTAGGTTCTTCGAGCAGAATTTGAACGTAAATTTGGAAAGCTTCAAACAAGGGCTAGTTAATTTTAACATCTGGTTATTTTTATCAAATTTATGAGACCAGACAGCGTAGCAGATGAAAAATGTTAAAGTAAGTCAACACAGGGTTAAACGCGGTCTCTTCCGAGTCCTGAAGCCAACATCTGCAGATACCATGTAAGTGTTTGGTTTTTGCAAATGATCGTAACCAGACACGCCCAGCCGATATAGTGATTACTGACCGAAACGCTGTCGCATGAACCTCCGACCTAAGGTTCTACACCAATCAGAGTTATGTCCAAAGAATCTACCATCCCCCGTCGGCGGCATTCATTGAATAAATGAGAGTAATATTACTATGCTAAATCGACAATGCCATCTTTACAATAATTGTTACTTAATAATCTGTATGAAAAATAAATATACAATCAATATAATTACATTGTCATGGATAGAAACTATGCTGTGGAGAGTGGAACTTATATATTAAGCAGTCTCTAAACCTATGTCTACTTCAGTACGTCATAACTTTGTGTTCTTATCAGTTACACGCCTAATGATTTGTGTCCGTTTTATAGTTTCAGTTATCCACAGAGTAGGCCAGTCACATGAGTTCAGGCAGTTGATAGTTCCATAGCCCAAAGTTTATGATGTTGTGTAGACTAGGCTATGTTCATATAAATTGGATTCTAAGTTAACTTTTGATAAATTCGAAGTACGCTTTTGTTAAGTTCGTTGTTCGCATAAACACTTGTCCAGTTCGATACATCATAACTTCGTATTCTTAGCAGTTTGCACACCTCATTATGTGTGTCCATAGCAATTTGCACACTGTGTCACAATTATCCAAAGCAATCAAGAAGTTGCAGTTGGGAAGTTCATAGTAATATGTACAATATTTTACTATTATCCACTGAAGTAAATGTTTTGTAAATAACAACTTGGCTCCCAGATGATTAAAACAAGGGGGGGGAACGAAAACTGACCATGGCAGCCATAGCGATGGGCCCAGGCTTGAATCCCGGAGAAGGGGTGGTTGTAATTGTCCGTCCCTTCATAGGAGTCAACGGTGGCCTCCTATTAGGTGCTTCCATAATGAAATAGCCACCACTTCCGGCCCTTGTAGTGGTGTAAGGCTAATGGCTATTAAATCATGCGCCTCTCCATTTAAAAAAAGATATCTTCTTCTCTATAAGGAACGAGATGTATTGTGTGTTTTATATTATTTAGTTTTAAGATGCTGCGATTGGATGTGATGAAGATATAGAAGGAGGGGACAAGGAGAAACGTAAAACTTTCTATTTTGG